TCCCCTGCTCCTATACCATACAACTTAGAGTGACACCATTACCCAATGCCTGAGGCTTAGCATCTCCCCTGAAACATGATCTGACAAGGAAGGCATGGCCAACAAGCTGCACGTTCCCAGGGACTTCCAACATCAAGTCAATGTATACCTAAGAACGGACTGTAATCTGGAGGAAATCAGTTTATGCGAGGAAGAGAGTTACTACAAAAATGACATGAGAAGCCACTTCAGATGGCTTGCTAACAAGCCTTCTGATGCTGTTGATACGTCCCCAAACACTCAGCCGTGACAACAATGTATCAGCTTGCAATTTGTCTGCCCCTGGGTGTGTGCTCACATTCACACTTAGGCCACGTGTAGATTTGTCACCAGTGGTTACAAAGATGAATTTATTTGGAAAGTGGGATCTAAAATAGAAAAGAAACTCAGTGTTTTCTGATGTTTGGAAAGATACCTCCGAGAACAGCCTCTCAGCAGATGTACTTTGAGGGATTTGTCCTTGTTCCCTTGGACATATCACTATGGAAGGTACATTTGCAAGGTAGGAGGCAGTCTCTACCCCCAAAGATGACTGCGAGAAGGTCCTAACGAGGTGATTCAGTAGCTGTCCTTCTCTCGGAAATCTGGAGGATGTGGAACAAGACATGAAGCTGGGGATAACAGTGTCTGCCACCTAGACCAGAGATGTTGAAGGCTGTTTAGGAAAAGCCAATAATGAACCAAATACCAAAAGCTGAGGAAACGAGAGAAGAAAAACAAAGCGATGATTTCCCACTCTCCAGTCACAGTCCTTCCTGATCTGCCAGAAGCCCCCCAGGACTCTCTTGTCATTACTGTACCTAAATTACAGCTTATACAGCATCTCTTCTAAGGAATGTGGAAATATTCCTGGAAGTATAAGAACACGGAGAAATTTGGGAAAGCCTGACTTGTGAAGGAAAAAGTGTTACACAAGGTGGGAAGCAATGCTTAGGTTCGCCAGTAGGCGGAGACACCATCAAAGGGTTTAACTAGAAACAATACTGTCCCAACTAATTGGTTATAAGATTTAGGGAAGAGGGGCCAGGGAGGATTGTCCTGTTAATTTCTTTTGTTTTCCCCAGTGGGTATAAATCCTACAGCCCAAAAGTTGAGTCACTCTGACCAACAGAGCAGACTGAACACTCCCTGGCTTTCTCCCACTCCAGAGGACAGCTTCCTACAAATACAAAAGAATAGATTCAAGAGGTTAGTAAATGGATGTTCACAAGTGTTGGCAATCTTGTCTTATTAATAAGGCTTTGCCCTCTTTGCAGAAATTTCCAAGTTGGCTTCTGTTTCTGGCCTGAACAAACTTAAGTAATTCAACTGTTTCCTCTTGATTGAAGGCAAACCTTTCCCAAATGCAAAAGAGGCGAACCCCGGGGAGCTGTTAACCAACATGGAGGCCAAACCCCAGGACCTCTTGGAGGCTGAAAAACGAAGACCAAAGTTGGTTTAGCTGAGAGCATCTATCTTCAGAGCAGGGACAGAATGACTTGGAATGGGGAGACCCAAGTCAGATGGAGGTTGGGTAGACATCAACAATATAAACAGTTTGGCCTCAAGTGTTAACGAATGTATGATGGCAGCAGGAATCAGGAGGTGACTCTTCTACTAGCTTGTCTCAATTTCTCATTCTATTCCTGCTTCAAATAATCCTCGTACTACCAGCCAGATGGAGCCATCAATTCTAAGGGCTGTCAGTGGGGCCCAAGCCTGGCTAATTGTCAAGAACAGACATAAGTGGACAGCTTTACAAAGATGTAGTCTGCCAGAAAATCTCTGAAAAGGAGTCCCCAGGTTGAGATGACTCCTGGACAAGGTTGGAAATCATCACTCTGAGAACCTGGCTATGTCCTCAGCATTTCCTTAGGACCCATAGGTCCTCATGTTTCTTCTAGACAAGTCTGGACTACTTCCACTCCTACAGTCCCCAGGCTTTCTACAATGCCATTCACCAGAGCCTGCACATCCTGAGCCTTCCTGGGGTTACAGAAGGCACCAGAAGACAGCCCGCCAACCGACTGACTCTTGCCCCCAGCCCCCAGTGGGATATCTATAAAACACCATCTCCCGTCTACTGAGCCCCTGTTGTGGCCTCTGTGGGGTGTCTCTGCTCAGCCCACTGCTCCTCCCTAAGCACTTTGAAGGAGCAGCTAAGGCCACCTTCTGCACCTTCTGATACACACCTCCCCTAAACACACAGACAGCAAGCATACCAATCCAGCACACATCTGTGGGGGAAAACAAGGTTATAAAACTGCAGAGAAACTCCTCTCGGCAGCTCTCTCTAAGAACCAACCTAGTCTCCATCCACAAACTACCAGACATATGAGGCAAAAAAGTAACAGCCCTGAAGAACACCAAGTTATGGCACAGGCCAGCAAGTCAGGCAGAGAAAAGCTGTACAAAGCAAACGGAAGGCATTTGGCACCTTCACATAGGAACAGCTCTGGGCGATTTTCTTGTACTATTCTAATCAAAGCTCCTCCTTTGTTTCTCTTCCATATGTAAAATCCCATTTGATCAGATTTAGAATCACCTGATAGGCTATTCCATGCTCCTTTTTCCTTCTCTTTCATTCTCTGCCTCTTGTTTTTGCTGCTTTTGAATGAACCTGTAAGGTCTATCCAAGGACTGTAAGGATGATATAGCAAGATCAGATATATACAATGTATATTCCATATATATGAAAGAAAGAGAGGAAGGGGAGTGGAGTGATATATATATATATATATATATATATATATATATATATCAAGAGATAGAGAAAGAGAGAAGAAAAGAGAAGAGAAGGGAAGGGAGGGGAGGGGAGGGGAAGGGAAGGGAAGGGAAGGGAAGGGAAGGGAAGGGAAGGGAAGGGAAGGGAAGGGAAGGGAAGGGAAGGGAAGGGAAGGGAAGGGAAGAGAAGGGAAGAGGAGAATTCAGTGAAGAAGGAAAAAGTAGCTATAAGCATATAGCCCCACACTAAACATTTTGGTTAGCCTTCTTCTGAAGAGCAAGTAAAACCTGAATTAGTAGTAGTTGACTAGGTTTGCATTTGTACAGCCGCCTTGATCTGTAGCACGAAGACTATTCTGGACAAAAGAAGGATGGAGAAAGGGAGATCAACAGGATGGCTGTGGTGCTGGACCAGGTAAGAGATGATGGTGCTTTGGTCAGGGGTCATGATGGGCAAAAGGAAAAAAAAAGAAAGGTAGACTCAAGAAAAGGTACACAAGGAACCAATATAAAATACTACAGAAAAGAACTTTCATATTTATTAAAAATTGAAAGATTAAAAACCTATCTAATGTTAATGAAAATGGAGATAACTCTCATATTGTTTAGATAGTTTGATGGTGATTTGGAAATATCCAAGGGAGCATGCTTATGAATTCAATTTGATTTCTAAATATGTACCCCATAAAAATGTAACTGAGCATAAAGACACATACATTCTAAGATGTTTATTGCAGCATCTGTTTGTAAGGGCAAAAACCTGAAACAATATACCCATGGGTATAATGGAATATGAAATATCAGACTTAAATAAAGCCAATGTGTGCTGAGATAGAACATGTTTATAATATATTCTTAAATATAAAATCAAATTTCAGAAAAATATGTAAAGTATGTTAAAATAGAAGGCTCCATCCATATATGCTTTTGTGTTGTAAATATGTCTTTATGACTGCAAAGGGAAACATCTGGGATGGTGCACATCTGTGTGTGGTCTCTATCTTCTCAGTCAAGTAGGAAACTAAGTTGTCTGTTGAGAATGAGGGCAGCTGCTACAAACATTTTCCATTTGAGGAGAATGATTCTGGCTTGAAATCACCTTGTGGGAATAGGAAATACTGCTGACTCCGCATTGCCAAACCGTACTGAAGACTCAGAAGAGGAGCCAAGCCAACAGTCAAGGTCATTCCACTTTCTTCAGCAGGACTCAGGATGTGGAGCAGTAAGAAAGAATTAGCTATGGGGTGTTCTCTATTGCCAGGACTGCTTAGGTGCTGACACTCTGCTCACTAATTGTAACAGTTTAACTTCAAGATGACATGCATGATACTATTCCATTTGCAGATAAATACAGTTAGGTAGTCCAAGGTCACACAATAAAAGAACAATGGAATGAAAATTTCCTGGTGTTGTATAGCCTGCAGGTTCCCTCACACTTGCTGATGGCTGGGAGATTATCTTCTAGGGTGGTAGAGCCAGCAGGTGGAGGCTGGCCACCCAGGTACCCTCATGAGTCAAGTTCTACTCCACCACCTGTCCATGCAGACTTTCATGCAAAAGAAAGACAAACAGCCCTCCTGAAAACTAAACAGTTTATTTTTATTCCCTGCTAAATCATTATGCTAAAATCCAAATCTGCACATCTTCTAAATAGGAATAAATCATTCATTGAAAACAGGAAAATTTAAGCTGGAAACACAAGAGAAATATTAGGCTTGAGCAAATATATATATAACACATGTGCCATGCATGTAACACACACATATATCCATATATATGTGTGTGTATATGCATACACACATATACATATATACGTGCACATATATACACATTTATATGTTTATAAATCTATTTGGGGTGATACCTTTTTCCCTTTAGAGTATTTTCTCTTTCTGCTTAACATCCAAATAACTATGATTATGAATGGTATTTATTGGTCATATTTCAGTATAATGTATACTATCAAGGATGGCATTAAATAAATCATAATTGAATGGGGATTTTCAATTATGAGAAGTGGTAGAAACTAGGAATAATTCCATTTCAAGCAGTGCTGGTCCCTGAAGGTGCCAGGGGAGGTGCGTGCTGTACTGGGCTGGGGTGAGTACCTTCTTCTGTCCTCACAGTCAGAGTGGGAGCCATTGTGGGCACAAGGTGTGTGGCGCTGCTGCATCCTCTTGGCATGGCCCATGCAGCGTCCAGGACACTAGAACAGAAGCACAGTGCAGTGTTTCAAGTATCCTGAATGCTCGGGCACACTGTGTGTACTGAGATCCGTACCACAGTGGATCGGGCAAGGACAGGTTGCAGGGGTCAGCTGTCCCTGTGGCAAGTTAGAAGGTAGCTCTGTAGAAAGACCTACCCTCCCCTTATTCTTTATCCCCTGAAACTCAGGCCACCTTGGGAAGAAAGGAAAGGGGTGGGATAAACTCTGAATTGATTAAGCTCACGTATGGAAACAGCTCTATTTAAAGCAATTAGTGAAGCCCAGGGTTTTTTGTTTGGTTTTAGG